TATGAGCTCTATACACCATTAAATATAAAATACATAGTACCTTCATTCGTCAACGAATTCAAACAGCTGACCAAACGCAACATCTAAGTGATGCTGTTCGAAATACAACAGTAGCAATAGATCGGGGAACAAACTTTCTTCTTCACTTTTGTCACAGGAAGACTAGACATAAACAATGAAATCAATAAATCAAAGAAATTTAGAGCCTTTGTCATAAACATTCGATGTGCAAGGATTTGAATAGCTTTGATGGGGAAATTTTCACGATTTGCTGCCTATACTTTTGGAATTGTCTAAACTGGTGCTCTAAATCCCTTTGGAAAGGAAAAAAATCATACTTTTTCAACTCAAGAGATTCAACCGGCTGAACAGAGGCAATTTTCCATGAATTCTGCTCAAAATCCAACAGAAGGAATGAATCGGGTGACAAACGTTTTTTTCGCTTTTGCTACACGAATCCAAACATAAAAAACGACATCAAAGAGATTTGCAGCCCCTGTTTTAAGTAGCTGCTTATAAGCATTCAAACACGGAAACATGGAACATTTTCACAATTTACTGCCCGTACAGGTGACGGTCGCCTTACAGGTAATCTAAATCTATTTGAAAAAAAGAAATCGTACCTTTTTTCACATAGAAGGATTTAGTCTGCCGATCAGAGACAATTTTCCGTGGATTCCGCACAAAATCCGACAGAAGGAATGAATCAGGTGACAAACTTCCTCTTCCCCTTTGTCACACGAAAGCTAAACTTAATTAAAGAAATGAAAGAAATTTAGAGCCTCTGTTGTAAGCAGCTGCTGTATAAACATTCAAACAGATTTTATGGAAGCATTTTCACGATTTACGGTCAGCACGTATGAATTTCGCTTCACAGATACTCTAAATCTCTCTAAAAATAAAAGAAATCTACTTTTTTCACTTCGACGAATTCAGCCAGCTATTTCCATCTGATGCTGATCGAAATCCAACAGCAGGGATGGATCAAGACTACAGTAAAATGGAAATATTGCAAGCATCACAAGAAAACAGAAGTGACGTTTTAAGCAATTCTAAACTGAAATAAACAGGAAAGTTTTGCATGAAGATGAGTGAACGCAGCAAAAAGCGCTGATCATTTCCACAACTAAATTTTTGTAAATTTCATTGGAATGTGTTGAATATAAATACTTGAAAGAAACCAAGATTACTCTCATGCAGTAAAGATTTTGGTAGCGGCGTTTCGAGGTCAATTTGAAAAAGCAGTAAGGAAAGGAGGAAAGGAATTGCGGTAAGGAATTGTAAGAATGCTTTTAAGCTATGTAATTACATAATAATCATATTCCTACAACATTATACAATATAATACTTACAATACTTACTTAACAGCTTACAACAATTGTAAGAATAAACAAAGCAGCGGTCAGGAAACGAACTGCTTAAAAAGTTAAAAACGCAATTTTCCAGGTTGTTCGAAGTGCTATATTTAAAACGTAGGACTGATCAGTTAACAAAACAAATTAAAACAATACGCTAAACGCCAGCTGAATGCATTCTTCGGAATCATCAGAAATCAGACAAGTTTTCTCCGCATGTCCAGTACGTTTTACAGGAGTGGGTGTCCTACAAATAAAACGGATTAAAAGCAATATTACGGTGTCTATAAATCGTCATCACTAGCAACCTTAGACGATCCACCGCCAGATGAAGACTTCCACAAGACATTATGAGATTTCTGGTTTCTGTCATCTTCATCCATCTCAAGCCAGCGAACTTCATCAGCCCATCCTGCTTTCGATCTACAGTTTTTCCTACGATCTATTTACACTCAGATCGAATCCATTCCAATGTCTCTTTGGGTCAGATTTGGTTCCTTCTTGGTGCAACTTGTGCTGAGAACTGCCCCTACAAATTCTTCACTCGGACAAGGGCTCGCACCCGTTTATTTTTATGTTATTCACTGATTCGTTCTTATTTTTGTTTGTTATTCCCGTCATACATGGTCATACATAAATCTCCGGATTTATAAGCCACAGTCTCCCCGATCCTTTGCTACTATTCGCCTAAGCCACCCCTTAAGCAAGTCACGGTTTCACGGTATTTCAACACATGCAGCGCTTTGGTGCAAAATCTTTTCCGAAGACGACTAAAGGAAAGGGGCTGACGCGAATACGCTGTATAAGTAAGGACGGACTAAAGACCGTAACGGCGGTATCGAAAGTGGAAACGTCGAAGCCCCTATATATTTATTAATTGAAGCTGTTGCAGTTCTGCATGCTTTTATGTATGTTGTACGCATTGTAAATATATCGATACATAAATTCGTTAATAGTGATTAGTTGGAAAATTAGAAAAGTGCAAATCCATACGCGGTCACTTCTCACTATTCGCTTTTGTTCGATACAGTTCAAAAATCTAGTCACTTTGTGAGACAAAATGCTAAATATAAACATTCCCTTGCAAAAGGCATCGTCATATATCTTCGTGGGTGGCATACCGGACCTGAGCATAATTTTATAATTCTGAAAATACCACGAGCAATGCAACGTCTATTTTAAGTTACAACTGTACGTTTATCCACGCTGCCTCGGAATAATGCAAAACACATGTGAGAAAATAGAAATCTAGCTGACGAATATGCATTAAGCCCATTATGACATCCTTGACTTGACTGAGGGTCACGGAAGGAACAGTCCAACTCTCGCCACACAAACAAGAGAAGACTGGCAGAGATGGAGACTACTTACGGGGATACGCCGATTGCACAAACATTAATTAGCAAGAACATTCCGCCACGTGTCCTCAATCAGTATTACGGTGATTACACCACACAGTGTCAGTGGTTTCGATGCACTAACCTCTAATCCTCACATGTGTTCTTTTCTCAACTATCGATGGAACAGAGCAAATAATCAGCAAAAAGATATCAAAAGTCACACTTAACTATGATCAAACAACAAAAATGAAAGCTCAAGAATTTTTAATATTTATGGCGATTTGGTGTCAATGTTTGAAATGTGAAGTATTTAAGAAAGAAAGTATTTCAATGTAGTGCTAATACACAAAAGAAGATACACTAATAAAATGCTATCTTTAGCCTGACTTAACAGACTTAAAATAATTAGACTAAACATCTGAGTCTGTATGTAATTACTGCACCAAAAGAAATAATCGCAAGAATCTTCTGCTCAGAAGGGAACCTGTTACGACAACTATCAGAACGGCTATAGACTTTGGACATTTAGAAGCCGCAGTCGTTCTACAGACGACTAAAATGCAAGTTTTCCCACTCAGAGTCTTCTTGTGCAGACGACAAAGATCGAAGCAGCTCGTTGATGATAAATTCTGCAGATTGAAATAAATGCCACAGAAATTTACTTTCACAAGACCCGGGGTCGCATGTCATGTCTTCTTTTCGAAATCTGAAGAAACCGTTCGACAATAAAAACAACAGTGGACACAATGCCAGACTGAAACATTTACGAGCTCGTTTAAAGTATTAAAAACACAATATGACATATTACTGAATCGAATGAAGTCTGAGAAATAACTATATTAACATTCCCAAGTTCAATAGTTGACAAGTGACCAATATCGAATCATTCGTAATTTTTGAATTACGGTAATTCGATGAACACGTACAAAGCATTGCCTGATGCTCTTTAACTATGATCGCAATACTGCTCCCTTTGTATTGAACTTTCAGGGAAAAAATTTAGAGCAACACTACCAAAAAGATGCTTCTCTCTGTGTTCCAACAAAGTGACAAAATTACTGTGTGTGTCGGTAGCCGCCAAAGGGTTGTACTGCAGCAACTGTTAGAAGTACTCCTGCTATCCTAACCTGGTCTTCCTGAACAAAGTGGGTGGAAGTACGCCGTTTGGCACACTTGTGTTGATTATCCTAGATAAAATACATTCTCACAGTAATATTTTGCAATATGTTACAATTTTTAATTTGATCATGATCATGTATCATTCTCTTTTAGTGTTTCGTTTATTCGGTTGACCATTGTTGTTTCTGCGTGTCATCATCACTATTTACCATGAGTTCTCACCTTCCTAAAAGGTGTTCGCACTGCGGAACGCCAATGTGATCTGCAACAACGAGCGCTGAAAGGCGCAGTTTAGACAGAGATCTGAATAGAGTGAATGATGGATGGAGACATTCTCGCAGGATGGACGGAATGGCTTAAAATGGTTGAAGTAAGTTTGCATCGTGAAATGATGATGTTCCTTGAATTCAACCAATGGGTTGTTGCTGTTTTTGCGTCCACTATGATTAGTGACGCAATGACGATGAGATGCAAATGCAATGGTGGACAACGGAATAAATAAAATCTATAAAACTAAATGAAGCATGAATACGTACATAATAAGAATTGTTACATATTACGGTAAGAAATTATTACATCAAGGGTAATCTACTCCATTTGTGTGGAACTGCGTGCTTCCGTCCGCTTCGTTCAGTAAGTCTATGCTATGCTACCTAGTGCACTTGTAACAGTTGTTGTAGCACAACCCGCTGACGGTCACTGACTTCCAGCCGTGAATCACGTTTTTGAATTTCGGACCTCCATGGTATGTATTTATGGTATTTATGACTGGCTGAAAGTTCAATGCAGAGGGTGTAGCTCAAATATTCGGTTTGACGATTATAATAGAAGTCAAATATTGCCTACGGTGTTCTGTACCTGCAGATCTCACAGAAATCAGTCTTTTATCTCAGCAGAGCGGGAAGTTCGTCCCTCTGAAGACTTGTGAATAAATGGCAACCTCTGCTGTTGGTTATCGC